TATATTTTTTTTCAAAAAACAGGCTAACGACTTTTTTTAAATTTTCAAGAGAAGTTAGAAAAGGATCAAAGTACCAAACGTAGACTTAAAAAAATTCAGAAGTGCTAATTACATGTGTGTTTTTTATTTTTCAAACTACGAACTAAGGGTGGATTTTTAAAAATATTTTTTCAAAGCCCGAACTAAGCGTGGATTTTTTAAAAATATTTTTTCAAAGGATGAACAAAGGTTGGATTTTGTAAAAATATTTTTTTCAAAGAACGAACTGAGCGTGGATTTTTAAAAATATTTATTCAAAGGACGAATAAGGATTGTATTTTTTAAAATTATTTTTTTCAAAGGACGTGGATTTTTAAAAATATTTTTTCAAAGGACGAATAAGGATTGTATTTTTTACAATTATTTTTTTTAAAGGACGTGGATTTTTAAAAATAGCGTAGATTTTGTAAAAATATTTTTTTCAAAGAACTAACTAAGCGTAGACTTTGTAAAAATATTTTTTGCAAAAAAAAAACGAATTACTATTTTCGAAGGACGCACTGTGCGTGGATGTTGTAAAAATATTTTTTTTCAAAGAACGAACTTAGCCTGGATTTTTTAAAAATATTTTTTAAAGGACAAACTAAAAGGTAATTCTTTAAAAATATTTTCAAGCTTCAATGGAGAGTGGATTCATGTACCCTACACCATAGTATGGATATATTAAGTTTGCCATTCCCACAATTTTGTTCAGCATAGGATTCTATGGCACGTCCCTCCGTGGAAATCACGCTAGCATCCAAAATAAATGAAGTAGGTTAATAGCATTGTGGTGAGATGCATTGTCAGTTCTGTAAGGTGTTTTGGCGGATATTTAGATATACCAAATTTGAAAAGAATCGCTGAATTGTTTCGCAAGTTATGAGAGATATAAATATTGAAAAATGTGATCCTTTGTGGGGCGGAGTTACCAGAACGGGTGGATCGATATCTATCATCTTCACACCAGATGTGACGTTAGTACAAATATTCGGATGCTTAATTCGCATTCTATGAACGTTTTGATTATTCAAAAATGTTTTCCGCTGTGGGGGAGGTACCGGAAGGAGTAGATCTGTATCTATCATTTTCACACCTGATCTTGTGTTGATAGAACAATTGCGATGTGCCCAGTTCTAGAGAAATAGGATGTTCATTTCGCGTTTTAGGAGAATCATTGTTTACCCTTTCGTGAGGGAGGTATCATAAGAAGTGGAACAATAACCCCTATTTCGGACTTTATTATCGTTTTGGTTATTCAAAACTTTGACCCTTTGTGGTGGAGGTACCAAAAGAAATGTTCCGATCATTACCATCTTTATAACAGATCTTGTGTTGATGGAAATATTGAGATGTACCAAGTCTGAATGGAATCGGATGTTATTTTTTTATTTCGCGTTTTATGAGCTTCATGGATATTCAAAATTTTTACCCTTTGTAGGGGAGGAACCAGAAGAAGTGGACCGATGTATTTCATTTTCACACCAACGCTTGGGTTAATAAAAATATTGTGATGTGTGTAATTTGAAGAGAAATGGATGCTTATTTCGGATTTTATGATCCTTTTGGTTATTCAAAATTTTGACCCATTGTGGGGGAGGTATCAAAAAGAATGGACCGATATATTTCATCTTAACACTAGACCTTGGGTTAATAAAATTATTGGGATGTGTGAAATTTGAATTTTGAAATCAAAATTTTGCCCCTTTGTGGGGAGGTACTTAATAGAGTGGGTCAATATGGTCCTGACCTAGCACTGACGTAAATATTCGGATTTGCAAAGTTGGAGCAATATCGGATTATCGTTTCTCTTTCTGTGCCGAAAAGATATTTATTGAAAATTTCGACTCCGAACTCGATCTAAGTTTTGGGAAAGTGGACCGATATTATGCCCTTTTTGCACCTGACCTAAAACTGATGCAAAAATTAGGATTTGCAAGTTGAAGCAAAATCTGATTATCGCTTCTCTTTCTGTGCAGATAATACATTTTTTGAAAATTTTGTGGGGCCTTTTGTGGGGGAGGTACCAGAAGGAGTAGATCAATATTGTCCATCTCCGAAATCGATCTAAGTTTAACAAAAATATTACGTTGTACCTAGTTTGGACCAAATCGGTTACTCCCTCCGAGGGTTATCGTGCTCACCCGTCAGACAGACAAACAGACGGGCAGACGGACAGAGTTTAGATCGAATCCAAATGTCCTGAAACGGATTTGGGCCAAAGATACCTAGGGTCTAAAACCGTTATTTCGATAAGGCTCGTTTTGGCCGTATTAAATGATACACACCCTACCTTCTCTAGCTATATGGCTGGAGGTATAAAAATTCAACGCTTTATAGGACTATAAAAAAATCTATATGGCTGAGGGTATCATTACCAGAGGGGGCCGGGTCCAACCAGGCTAAGTCAATGGCTTTAAATATATTTTACTATTTCTGATTCATGATTAGCAAATGAATAATGGCAGCCCTAATTTTACTCTGTATTTACCCCTACTCACTTCACATATTTTCAGGGTTATTGGGCTAAAACAAATATGTAGCCTACTTTTGGGAGTTGTGTTAAAAAACAATTACATTTAAATGGATTTTCCATTGCAAAACGGTCGCCAACCATGAGCACCTCTTTTCCTACCCCCCAAAAAAAAAGTTCGCAAAACTTTAAACACTTAAGTTCTCACCTGCCCTGTTGTGTTGTGGCTTATCTCTGAAACTTTTTGAGAAAATTGAAGTTAGCTTAAATTTTAAATGTCAATTTTTGCATTTCCCCAAAGTCAAATTAATTTGTGAAACGAATTAAGACACACGGAGAAGAACCAAAAAAAAAACACATGGCAGCAAATTGTCATGTTTAATTTAAATTCCCCACAAGTCTTGCCACCACCAGGGGGATTTGGGAATTTCATTCATTTCATTACCAAGTGTTTTGAGGTTAGGTATTATCTTAACAACTTAATTGACAATCACTCTTAGGTCTAGTGTTTAAATTTAAAACAAATTTGCATTTCATTAAAATTAGATGAAGGAGAAATGACAAAAACTTGGTAATGAAATTCTGCAAAGGTAGGATAATCAGGAAATATAAAATTCTATGGATTTTAGGAAACCCCAGAGGAAGAGCATAACGGGTGAGATGAAAAAACTGAAACCAACTCCAGACTGCTGTCATTTCTAAACCACTCGTCCGACAGCTGTAAAAATTATTCCAGAGACAGCTCATTATATTGTTTACAAGCGTACCAAAGCATTTTGCTGAGAAGTTTCCGGAAAAAAAAAAAGTTTTTAGTGATGGAATTTAAGGGTGATAGTGTGATTTGGCTGGAAAACCACAAGTGGCTATCGTTAGAGCACTCCAGCATTTAAATGTGAATAAAACTTTTGTGTATCGTACAATCGCTCGTTATCGTGATACTGGTAGCGTAGCCCGACGTCAAGGAAGTGGACGGAAGAAAACAGCAACATCAGCAGAAATGGTTCGAAAAGTAAGAAAAGCGAATTGATCGATCGGAATATCGCAATATTCCATTCGGCAAATATTGAAAAATGAGCTCGGGGTAAAGCCATTGAAATTCCAAAAAGTGCAAGAACTTACACCGCAACAGAAAGAAAATAGACTCAAAAGAGCTAAAGAGTTGCTTCGCTTGGCCGAAAGTGGTGAACTGCCGAATTTGGTTTTCTTCGATGAAAAAACATTCGTTGTCCAGCAGTTTGTAAACAAACAAAATGATCTGTTTACTTGCCGAAGAGGTCAGCTGAAAATGTGCACCTTCGGTTGGCCACCAGAACTCAAGCGCCGGCCATGGTGATGGTGTGGGCCGCCATAACAGCCGATGGTCGCTCTCCGCTCGTGTTTATCGACCGTGGCACCAGAATAAATGCCGAATATTATCGCGAAAATATCCTGATGGGTATATTCATCAGCAGAAATGGTTAGAAAAGTATAGAAGAGACTTGATCGAAACCCGCGTCGCAGTGCCCGAAAAATGGCTCGTGAGCTGAATATATTGCAATATTCCATTCGGCAAATATTGAAAAATGAGTTCGGGGTAAAGCCTTTGAAATTCCGAAAAGTGCAAGAACTTACACGGCAACAGAAAGAAAATAGACTGAAAAGAGCTAAAGAGTTGCTTCGCTTGGCCGAAAGTGGTGATCTGCCGAATTTGTTTTTTTCCGATGAGAAAACATGTTCTGGAGGGTGTATTAAAAATGTTCTGGAGGGTGTATTAAAGCCTTGGGCACGCAAACATTTTGGCCGCAGACATCGGTCAAAATTACAAAATGAGGTTCCTCGCTTCATTTCCAGTGCACAATGGCCACTAAAATCTCCGGATACCAATCCGTTGGACTATTGTGTCTGGAGTATTTTTTTGGAAACCAAGGTTGGCACTAAAAAATACCAAAGTGTCGAAAAATTTTAAAAATTATAACGTTCGAATTTGTTGTCGTTTTTTTTATCTCGCCCTGTATAATTAGGGGTTTTCTAGCAATTGTTTTAATAAATGCATACCCTTCGATTGATAGTTCTACTCTCCAAAAATGAATTCTCTTCATAATTTATTACTTCCAATTAAAATTACAAAATTTCGGTCGCCTACTGCTTCATACAAATACAAGTATATATAATCAACAGCATCCTATTACTTAAAAATAAATAAAAATATTTTCAAGCTTCAATACAGGGTGGATTTGTATACCCTCCACCATAGTATGGGTATATTAAGTTGGCCATTCCAGCGGGGATTTTTTAGAAATATTTTTTCAAAGGATGAACCAAGAGTGGATTTTTCCAAAATATTTTTATCAAAGGACGAGCAAAGCGGGGATTTTTTCCCAAAATTAATTCTTTTCAAAATTTATTACTTCCAATTAAAATTACAAAATTTTGGTCCCCTACTAACCCCATACAAATACGAGTATATATAACCAACAGCATCCAATTACTTAAAAATAAATACAAAAGTAATCTCCATGTCGAATCTTACCTTTTTCCGCATGCACTCGATGCTTCTTCCACTTCCTATTCCCTTAACAAAGTATTGCACAATCTGTAAAGAAAATCAAAAAAAAGAGAGAGAGAAATGCCATTAAAAATATTGTTTCATACTTTCAGGTGCACATATGTTTTACAATTTCACAGACTACACAGTTAGGGTCACAACATTAAATCCTCTACAAAATTGTTGCATATCCTTAAGGGATTTAAAGCAAGACAACAAAAACAACGGACATTTTTTAACAACAAAGAAAACTGTTGTTATTGTTGTTGTTTTATTTACAAAAAATAAACGAAAACAAAATTAAAAGCAATAAAATACCAACAGCCTGTCGGCCTGAACGCCTGCCAGCCTGCCTGTCCGACACTAAATGCCAAATAATGTATTTCAAGGTTGTAACAAAGAACGATAAAGTAAGGAAAAGAGAGAAAAAAAAAACGAAAAACCAATAACAACAAGAACAGTTGATATGGTAGGGGCTTTTGTTTACATTTTGTTACTGAAAGTTTCAAAATATTTTGAGAGCAAAAAAGGGTCAATACAGCTGACATGGTCGACCATGCGATAATACTACCGGCGGAAGGAAATAAAATACAATTTAAGGACTAATACGGCAATTTTTTTTAGAAGTACCAATAGAAAGTGGAAACAGATCTTGCGTTGATGAAAATATTGAGATGTGCCAACTCTGAATGGAATCGGATGTTATTTTCACGTTTTATGAGCTTTATGAATATTCAAAATGTTAACCCTTCTGGGGGGAGTTCCAATAATAAAAATATTGTGACGTGTGTAATTTGAAGAGAGCCGGATACTTATTACTGATTTTATGTCCGTTTTGGTTATTCAAAATTTTGAACCTTTGTGGGGAAGGTACCAGAAGAAATGGTCCGATATATTCCATATTCACACCAGGCCTTGGGTTAATACAAATATTGCGATGCATGTAATTTGAAGAGAACCGGATGCTTATTTCGGAAGTTATAATCGTTTTAGTTATTCAAAATTTTTACTCTTTGCGGGGAAGGTACCTGAAGGAGTGATCCGATCACTACCATATTTATAACCGATCTTGCGTTGTTTAAAATATTGAGATGTACCAAGTCTACATGGATTCGGATGTTAATTTCGCGTTTTTTCGAGCCTCATGAATACTCAACACTTTGACTCTTTGTGGGGGAGGTACTTGAAGGAGTAGACCGATATAACCCATCTTCACACCAGGCCTTGGGCTAATAAAAATTTTGTGACGTGTGTAATAAGAAGAGAGCCGGATGCATATTTATGATGTTATGCTGGTTTTAGTTGATCAAAATGTTGACCCTCTGTGGAAGTTACCAGAAGAAATCGGCCGATATTTACCATCTTTATAACATGCCAAGCCTGAATGGAATCAGACGTTATTTTCGCGTTTTATGGCTTTCAAATTTTTTACCCTTTGTGGTGAGATACTTGAAAGAAAGACCGATATATCCCATCTTAACGCCAGGCTTTGGGCTAAAAAAAAATATTGTGATGAAGAATATATAAAAGAGTAATGAAATAACTGACCGAGTATCAACTCCCAGACGAAATGACTGAAACTAGAAATTTAAAATTTTGAAATTTCGCAAGAGAGCCAGCCTTGTTGCGTAGGAGTGTGATAAGGGGCTGGGTTTTTGGAAATTCATACTAAAATGATACATAACGTACTATACAGGGTGAGGTGAAAAAACTGCAACCAACTTCAGACTGCTGTCATTCAAAGCTACTCGTCCGATAGCTGTTAAAATTATTCTAGTGACAGCTCATAATATTCTTTACAAGCGTACAAAAGCATTTTGGTGAGAATCTTCCAGCAAAAAAGTTATTAGGCAAATATTGAAAAATGAGCTCGGGGTAAAGCCATTGAAGTTCCAAAAAGTTATAGAACTTACACCGCAACAGAAAGAAAATAGACTCAAAAGAGACTTATGTGTTCAGGACTTTTGGTATTGAAAATGGGCTATAAAGGTCCACACTTTTGGTAAAGGCCCCATATAACATTACCTCTAGATTTAAGCTTTTTTCGGGTGTTATAGTCACATACCGAATTTGCTGTCAATTGTGAGCATGTATTCAAGTATGTAGGGAAAATCCTTGTATTGATCCAGGTTTTGGTATATATAACGTTACCTGCAAATATTCGGAATTTCAAACTTGATGTTTGCAGCAGAACCTTATTTGGCAGATGATTTTTACCACACCTTTCACCAAAATTATTTCATTTCAGAATTTGCAGTTTGCAAAGGGTACTACCACCTATGACGCTTTCTCTGGCAGATAATCGGCTATATGGGTCCACGTTTTCGTAGAGCTCTTATACAACGTTAACTCCCTATATTTAGTATTTTGATGATTATATCTAGATTTTTGAGCAGAATTATTTGAAACTTGTGGTTCTCTGGTAGATTATTGACTTTAAAGATCCACGTTTTCGTGCATAACTGTTACACCATATAATTGTAACACCAGATATTGGAAATGTTCCTTCCAAATAATGGAGAATATTAAATGTTCTGCCCGGCCGAACAAAGCTGCTTTTATTCTTGAGGTCTAATGTGGATCCTTAAAAAAAAATTAAGGTCTACCAGATTTTTTACAAGTCGAAAAGTACTAGCCATAGGCATTCCATGTGTACCTTCACATAACCTCAAAATTTAAATTGATGCAGTCAACCTAGCAATATTACATAGATTACACAGGGAAAGGGTATTGTGTGTTTTGTTTTTCCTTCAAGGGTTTACTTCGTTTGCTTCGCTACAAAACAAAGGCTTTCACATACATAAACAATTTGTATTTTTTTAAGCCATGAAATATAACTCGACAGCTTGCCTCTGGTCGTCCTGCTTACATGCTTTTCACTTGACTTGGCATTTGTACAAAAAATACATTTAATATATTACTTTTTCAACATGGTCGCTCACTCTTTTTTCCTTGGGATTTTTTTTGGAGTATGGCCGGTCCTAGAGGGGTTAGGGTGGAATTGCCACCCTATTCGGTTCGAACAAAATGTTAATGTGTTTATTTTATTTTGTATACATCATATTAGTTATTGTTGAATAATAAAGAAGACAAAGAAAGCCAATCGGATGGTGAATTATAAAGTCCTAAAATTCGAAGGTCCTGGAAGCAAATTATCCTTACAAAATATCTTCTATAGAAAACAGTAAAATGCCAGTATTTTATTTTTTTAGTTTTATTGGATGAAAGCAAAAAATGTCGGAAATAGCATCAAATTCTAGAATAAGTTTAGATTTGTTCGAATTGGTCACCTTTGGCACGAATTATGGCCTTGAAATGGCCAATGAACACACGCTGCCTGAATGTTGCTCTGCGGAATTTTGGCCCATTCCCGGCGAAGCACTTTCTTGAGGTGATCGACACTTTGGTATTTTTAGTGCCAACCTTGCTTTCCAAAATACTCCAGACACAATAATCGGATTGGTATTCGGAGATTTTGGTGGCCATTGTGCGCTGGAAATGAAGCGAGGAACCTCATTTTGTAACCATTCTATGCATTAGAAAATCCATGTTCTGTAAGTTCACAAAAAATATTTTTAAACATCCTCTTTCTGTTGGTCCTCAAGAAAATATTTTTTTAATCTACGATCCGTTGTCCCTTAAAAAAATATTTTTTTTTTTTAAATCCAAATTATATTGGTCTTTCTTTCTGTTGCGGTGTAAGTTCTTGCCCTTTTTGGAATTTAAATGGCTTCACCCCGAGCTCATTTTTCAATATTTGCCGAATGGAATATTGCGATATGTTAAGCTCACGAGCCATTTTGGACCTCTGCGACGCTTGTTTCGGTAAAAATCATTAATATTCTGGTAAAAATCATTAATATTAAAAAAAAATATTTTTCAATTAACCCCTTGCGCACCAACACAAAATACAAGTGACTTGTGTCTTTGCATTTATATTTTAAAATTTATCTTCACGGGCATCACTTCCTTGACGTCGGGCTACGCTACCAGTATCACGATAACGAGCGATGGTACGAGACACAAAAGATTTATTCACATTTAAATGCTGGAGTGGTTTAACGATAGCCACTTGTAGTTTTCCAGCCAAATATAAAGAAATCACACTATCACGCTTGAATTCCATCACGAATAACTTATTTTCGGGAAAATTCTCACCAAAATGCTTTCGTACTTTCACTTTCACTGGAATAATTTTAACGGCTGTCGGACGAGTGGCTTAGAAATGACAGCAATCTGAAGTTGGCTGCAGTTTTTTACATCTCACCCTGCATCCGATGCTGCAGAACCGTCCCCCATAAAGGGTCAACAGTTTGAATAATCATAACTCAAGGCTGGGGTATACATCTGTCGTTAATACTGATACTATTTAACTTGTCTAAGTCTAATTTTTCATCTTACCCTGTAAATACATCCTGAAATTGGAAGGTCCCTTCCAAAAGAAAAAGAAACCAAAGTTTGTAGCCTAGAGTAAATTTGCTTTCTTTGTGCAATAATTATAAACAAAAAAACACAAAAATAAACATTAATAAAAAAAAGAACGCTTAGTTGAATGGACTATGGCGATGATGATAATAATAACAACACGCTCTAGTCACTGACAACAACAAAAGCAATGGCAAAAACAACAACAAAAGCAATAACAACTGCAAACGCGTAGCGTCAACATGGTTATAAAATCCGCTGCGACAATGGGGCAATGGATAGCATTGCATGTCGTTTGCCTCTAGGCGGCGATTAGGGTAAACAAATATCTAACGTCGATGGATGGATGGCGGACTGGCTGGTTGGGTGGGTGGTTGATGGCTCAGTCGGTGGTTGTTGCTGCTGCTGCCGCTTCTCGTCGGTATGTGACGTTTTACTATTTATAGAAAAAAAATGCGACTGCCTTTATTTTTATTTTTTTTTGCAAAAAAAAAAAACACTTCTCAAATACATTGTGGCCACTGCAAGGCGTGTACGGGTGACAACAGAGACGCGGCGCCATTTTATTCAATAAAATCCGCCACACAACGACTTACAAACAAATACAAATTTTCTCACTCAAT